TTCGGACAACAAAGCACCCCTTAAATCATCATTTAGGTCATAATTACAGTCGCGATTTAAAATTACGAACACCAAACGACCCCACAAATCCTGATTTAGGCCTTATTTAAGGAGATAAACGCGATATGGGCCTTAAATATTGAGATAAACGATGTGCAATCAACCTCAAATCACAATTTGGGTCTTATTTAAGGAGATAGGGCTTAGGGCTTAATTAAGGAGATAATCGTGATTTGAGCGGTGTAAATCACGATTAGACCTTGATTAGGTGATCTTCTTAACCTGTTTGGGCGTTATTTAAGGATATCAACATGATTAAAGGTTTCGAACCCCAAAACACCCCTCAAATCGCAAATGAGGACTTAATTAAGGGCTGAAATAGGGAGATAAACACGATTTAAGATTTCGAAAACTAAAACATCCTTCAAATCACGATTTAAGCCTCAATTAAAGAGATATACGTGATATAAGAATCCGAACACCAAAAGACCCCTCATATCACGATTAAGGCATTATTTAAGGAGATAAAAGTGATTTAGGAGATTAACGCGGTTTAAGATTTCGAGCCCCGAAACACCCCTCGAATGATGATTTAGGTCTTAATAGAGGAGATAAACGCGATTCAAGAATTCGAACACCAAAGCACCTCTCACATCGTAATTTAGTTCTTAATAAAGGAGATAAACGCGATTAAAGATTTTGAACACCAAAACACCCCCCAATATATAAGGAGATAAACGTGATTTAGGAGATTAACGTGGTTTAAGATTTCGAACCCCGAAACACCCCTCGAATCATGATTTAGGCCTTAATAAAAGAGATAAACGCGATTTGGGCATTAAATATCGAGAAAAACGATATGAAATCACACTCAAATAACGATTTGGGTCTTATTTAAGGAGATAAACGCGTTTACACAAATTTCGAATACCAAGTCATCTCTCAAATCGAGATTTTGGACTTTACTACGGAGATAAACGCGTTTTAAGTTTTTGAACACCAAAATACCCCTCAATTCTCGATTTGGGCTTTTTTAAGGAGATAGGGCTTAGGGCTTAATTAAGCAGATAATCGTGATTTGAGCGTTGTAAATCACGATTTGGTCTTAATTAAAAAGATCACCTCTTTGGGTGTTATTTAAGGATATAAACGTGATTAAAGATTTTGTACCCCAAAACACCCCTCAAATCGCGAATGAGGATTTAATTAAGGAGATATATGTAATTAAGGTCTTAAATAGGGAGATAAACGCGATTTAAGATTTCAAACACCAAAACACCATTCAAATCACGATCTAAGCCTTAATTAAAGAGATTAACGCGATTTAAGAATCCGAGCACCAAAACACCCCTCAAATCGCGATTGAGGCCTTAGGTCAGTCATTTCGGGCCTTATCCAACGGTCTGCAAAGGCAGGATCATAGATTTTCAGGGTTTATCATCAGAGGCCTACAAGATGTCATCCCGATTTGTTCAAAGGCAGCACCAAAGCAAGTCCCTCCCTCGTCCAGATGTCTTCCAATTGAGATAGCTAGTGTATATTAAATTTCCTTCAAAGATTTTTCCTACCAGTTTTACGGAAAGGTTAGAGATTCCCAATCTACACTGAGGCGAAAGAACATAAGAATTCCATAATTACCACTTATGACTTTTAGCGACATGAAATCGATATGAATTTCATTGATTTGCCGTATGAAAAATAATGTTGACAAACAAATAATAAAGCGGAGCAGATTGTAATTTAACGCTCTAGACCATTAATTTAAATCTATGTAAAATGTCTCTGGTTTTTGTCAATGTGAGGTCGTTTGAGTTTTAGCATTTTAACGAAGACATCAAATCAAGAAGACTGGCAACTCTGCCAGAATCAAAGCGACAGATACAGTAGCGCTGCGCTCGAGCGAAGGTGGAAGTACTGCAGAGAAAAATTAGCAAATACACACACCTTTCTTCTGAGGTTGTAATCTTTGCCATCAAATTCGTTCGAAGCATTTACCTTTGCCCGGCAGAGGACGCGATTGTGTTGGTCTCATAGTTGACAGTATTCTTGATCTGTAGTCTTCGATTTTGGGTTAGGCTCGGGTTCTTGGATCAGCTCTGATGACTGGAAGATAGCCCAGAAGTAATTGTGAGCTAAACCGTCTAATGTATTTCAAATAAATTCAAAGCAAAGTGCTAGTGAAATTTAAGAAACAGTACTGAGAAGTTCATGAATGGTACAGTACTGAGAAATTCAGAATTATATGCAGGAGTCTTCATAGAAAAGCTCAGATTTTAAGATTTTACCTCTCAAAACTCCATTAAACTTCGCATAATTATTCGCTTGGGTAAATGAGCCAAGTTTGTGTTGAAATTAGGCCATTTTGGCTCTCGCCCAATCTTTTAAAATGGCGTACTTGTACTAGCACGAAAATGGCTCACCTAATCGAAATGACGTCTGAGATTAAATTTTTGGAAACTGAATTGTCTTTTCGGAGATTTTTATTTTAAAGATTTTTGAACTTAGGACTTAGAGGGCTTCAAAGGGAGCTTCATCTGACAGGGTAGTATGGGTAAATCAAAAAGTAAGATATTCGCTGGATCAAAATTTGTATACTAGGGTCAATCTAAATTTAATTAAGAATAAGTCAAGTGAGATCTCAGCCTGATATCTTGAAGGGACAGTCCATGGGAGTTCAGAAGTTTAAGGATATCCTTGGACGAAGCAGGTCTATAGGTCTTCAAACGCAACTTAAATGAAAAGGTACCGATAAGCAAATCATGAGGTTATCAAATCAAATGTCAAAAAGAAAGTTCAAGATCAATTCAGATTCTTTCAAAATAATGTTCTGTGGACATCCAGTACAACACACAGCAGTGTAGGACAAGTCCCATGGTCTACATTAAATAGTCCAGAGGCATTCAAGGGTAAGTCCCTCTGTTTTCACTCGCAAGTGTTCTGAACCTCATTAGCTGATCAATTGTATAGTTTCGATTGAAAGGATTGATTGAATTACAACTTTCCTTTACGATATGAAAATAGGTAGGAGTTAAAAGTTTGAAACTTGCTGTCAGCCCTCCATAAATCAAGTTACAGAATTTTCGATTTATACGCAGTAAAACCTAAGGAATCAATGGTCCGAGGTGCTAGAAGAATCATCTTTTTACAATTGCAATAGTTTGCTCCGGCGTTCTGTCTGCCCTAGAAACTGGACTCCATCCCAAATTATCTCAGATTGCCCCAGCTTGACACCTCAATGTACGCAAACTTTTGTTGAGACAAAATCCAGAACTTCCAAACATCTACCATCCATGTTTTCCGGCATACTTTTTCACCACCAACACCATAGTAGCGAACCTCGTAACAAACAGTCTCTGCACAAAAAAAAAAACTTTATTTTGACACCCAACAGCTGAAACATGTTGCAGATGGGTCCCCCCTCTCTGCTCCATAATAGTCTCATGGCTACATCGTATACATACGATTCGTAGAAAGTTCACACTCGAATTCCGGTTCTAGCGAAGACAACATATCGAGAAGCCTGGCCACTCTGACGAAAGCACGATAAGCAAACGCCATCTACCACTCAAAGGCAAAAGCTCCTCCACACGGCCGTTGAAACTAATTCGAACATTCGGGAGGATTATATTCATTTTCGTAGAAAGTGTGGTTACTCGAAGAAAATCGTGTAAACGTGTCTCGAAAATGGTGAAAGTCAAACTAAATTTTGAGCTAGTTTCACCTGCCGTGCGGGCGAATTTTATACCTCAGATGCCAACCGCAACACAGAGGTTCTACCTTTATCTGAATCCCGTTGGATTTGGACAGACTTGTCAATCTTGTTAATTGGTTGTCTTCGGTTCTAACGGGACTACTATCACGTAGCAGAACAGAACTCCGAGCTGCTGCGAAAATAGTGACACGAACTTACTTATTGTTTCGAATGAGAAAACTTTCGCTTCCCGGTTTCAACTTTGCGTCACGCGCGGTACTACTAAATATCCTGGGTGTGTCTGCTTTTGTTTTTGCTCACTTGGCACAGCTAAACTTATTTGGGCAAAACAATAATTGTCGCCAGGCGAATGCTCCGATCCTTTTCTGGACCCGGGTTGTGACGACAATTGTTGAAAGACGATGGGGGTGCGGAATCATCGGTGGTTGCTCAGCTCCGGTGCAGTGTCGTCCGTTCACAGTTGACAATCGGAAAGCAAAAGTTTGGGTCGGCTCTTTCCCTGGGGCTGGCAGGATTTGGGAAAAATGCAGTATGGGAGGAGAAGTTGCACCCCGGTGTGGGGGCAATAATTGAGCAAGTTGTTGGCTTTGAAATTAAGATTGCTGGATTTTGGTTGTTAATTGAATTGGGTGGAATTTCTTATGGACGTAATTAAATTTACTTGTTGAGAAGTTTGCCTGATGCCAACCGGACCAGAGTGTTTGTGGAAGGAATTTGCCGAATCGAGTTTAACTTTTTTGATGTTTGGAAATTTTGTCAAGAGCATCATGGCCTTTTGATTGAGTTACTATAGTGTGAGATTTGAGGAACAATTACTGATGATCGTTTTATGATAGGAAAGAGCAGTGTTGCCAGGATTACTCATTTTATAGCTCATGATGTGTTGAAGATGGAAAATGGGTGAAACATCTTATTTTTTTTCGATAAATGGTTGTAAACGATGTAATACAGTGATTTAGCTTTCCTATGATTGACACGTTTATCCTCAGCAAGCATGCAATCTTGAAACGCAATTAGAGCCCAAGAACAAGTGAATCGAAAATACAATATCCCATATCTATTATTTACGAACAAAGCCTCCATATAACAGATTATATCTCCAGCAAGCATTTGTTCGTGTACATTGTATCCGCTTGGGATTAGGTTGCCACATCGATTCAAGCACTGGCTCTCACTTTCCCCAAACAGTCGATTATTTGCCGAAACATTTGTCCCATTCAATAGCAGTGTGTAATCCATCCTCGAATTTGACGAGCTCCTAACGTTTTCCTTTGTGTCCCGTTTGCAGGCGAAGCTGGAAACCAAAGCACTGAAAGCCAAGCGGCCTGGCTTTACGGACGAACGGTACCACGAGACGTCCTACTACATTGAAAATGGTAAGTCCTCCATTCACCATTATGTCCGATTGCAATCGAACGGTTTTGTCTAATTGCTTTCTCCTGTTTCCCGCCCGCAGGCCTACGGAAGGTGTACCCGTACTACTTCACCTTCACCACGTTCACCAAGGGGCGCTGGGTGGGCGAGAAGATCCTGGATGTGTTCGCCCGCGAGTTCCGGGCCCACCCGGCCGAGGAGTACGAACGGTGCATCAAGGCCGGAACGCTGACGGTCAACTACGAAAAAGTGCCAACAGACTATAGGTTAAAGCATAACGATCTCCTGGCGAACATCGTGCACAGGTAAATTACACACTCCACCTCCACCACCACCACAACCACCGGAAAAAAGCGGGGAAACATCCCGGACTCGGTTTTCTTCTTTTCTCCGTCTCAGTTGAGAATACCTGGTTTTCTTAATTTCGATTTTTACCAGTAGTTTGTAGAGGCGATTTTTTTTGTCTTCACTGTGTACTGTGTAAAACAATCGCGACTGGAAATTCGAAAATAATGCAAAATTTGTAAAAATTGTCAGGACCCATCAAAACTCGAGTAAACCAAATCTGTATAGACGAGTAAAAAATAGTGCACCTTACTAGAGACTAAACCACAAAAGATCGCCCAAAGATCTTGAAACTGAGCACAGAGAGTTGAACACAATCTATAGGACACACTCGCGCCCAGTACCTCTGTACATAGCTCTGCGTTATTGCTACGCTATTTATTCCCCCGCCGCCGTACCCCCCTTTTATCGATTCGAACGAGATCCTCCGCTATACTTCAAATGCTCTTGAATCTAGGAACAGACACACTTACACAGCAACAACACAACAACAGTCATTTGCCTACCTACACCCATCCCCCGTTTCACCTGCTTTGAGAAGCGTCATCCATGACAGCTTCTTTTCATTTCCATCATTGTGAGTGTGTGTTCTCCCATTCTTCATCCATCCATTTCTTCGGTGTGCTTTGTGTGATTTTCGTTGGTTGCTTTTAGGAAAAATGCAACTGTGTTGGTAATTCGGAATTGAACAGAAGAACGAATTTCATGCCTAGTCATGCGGGAATGTATCGTGTGACGAACGGGGATTTTAATATAAATTTAGCCTTATTTTAGTAATCTACAACCTTACCAGAACCAGAATGCCATCTTCACATTACAAAATACCGTTTTGAGTCAAATATCGGAAAACTTCACGGAACTATTTTCCTCTATCAGAGTCTTATTTTTTTTCCAGTGGTCAAGGTATTCTGCTGAAGCACTGCCGATCTAAGTATTGTGCATTTAAATAAAAATTAGATCGCAACTTTGCTCACTGATTATTCCGACGCGAATTTTCGATAAAATGGAATGCTCTCGCAGCACTGCCGATCAACTGTCACACGTGCGAACAGTAATAATGACAACAATAAACATATAAATGTCAGTCATGATTGACGGAAGTTTGAAGTCAGACTCCCGTACTTTAGTTTAGGGCTGGTGACAGAATAATCTATCCAGAGTATCAGTTTAAAAGTCAAAAGTCCGAACGTCACAGTTCGAAGTTTCTCAGTTGGAATTTAGGTTTTTCGCTGAACATTTTAATTTTAAATTTATGCTTACGGTTAGCAGTCATAGCTGATCGCTTCTGGGTAACGGACTACACCACCGGCGCCGGCTGGAAAATCTTATGTTTGATGAGATTAAATGAAGGAAAGCAAATCAATCATTAATTCTAATTCCTCCGCAATGCTTTCAAACCGGATCAAACATTTCAAAATCCCATGGCAAATTTCAGAAGTGGTGCCAAAACAACCGATAACATTAAAACTCAAAAGAACTTCTCATGTTAAAAAGAAGATAAAATCTCCTACTTTTGAATTCTTAAATATTTTCCAACTTGCAGTGTCAAAAATAACACGAATAGAGTAAGTGCTCCAGTTTTTGACCCTTGTGACTAGCTCAAATTTGATATAAATTTTCATCCTTTTTTTGCGCAGATAGGGCTTAGATCTAATTTTGGGGCTACTTACCACATTCCGCGCTTTGCCTCTATTTTTTCGAGTGGATTTTCTTTTCACAAAATGAAATGTTTTCGCTGCAGATGACTTCTGCATCTATTCACCTTTCCGTACGTTCCGTAAGATTTCATGAAGAGTAACTAATTGTTGTAATATTGTTAATAATTGAACACTGCCTCTTGACCCCAAACTCGGCCTGCGGATTCTAAATTCGGCCTAACGCATTAAAACGCCATTCTTTTATTTTTGAGAATAAAGGGTACAAACCTTCATATCACGCGTTTTTATTGACTTCATTCGGTAGCGTTTGAACTAAAGAATCGTACCAAACGCATAATTGACTTGTTAACGCTGAAATCGTGGATTTATTTGATGTTTCTCTCCTCGATAGGTCCAAAATGGGTGATTAGGCCGAACATAGAAATTTAATATAGTGCCAATTAGGGAACCACCGGTGCACAGAAATGCAATCTAGCGGAGCAAAATGAATAACTCCTAAACGAAGCATTTCCGCTACTTGGTGCCTTGGGTAAAGTTTCTCATCATAATAAGGACCATCTATTGACATGAACAAATAGTTCAAAACTCTTCCGCAAAGATGGCACCACAATCTAACTTCTTTCGCTGACGGTTTGGAGACTTGATGTCTTGCGCAAAGTTGTTTGCCTTGGCAAAATAAACAACTCTTTTGAAGACGTAAAATTTCCACAGTCTACTTGTTCCAAGTTATATGGAGTTAAAGAAAAAAAATGTCTAAAATATGGTTTTTTCTTTCTGTTCCGGTTTTTTTTTTGGTGACAACCATATAATGTTATATTTTTCTCTTATGCAAACACATTAAATAAATAACTTTTGTGAAGAAATGTACTGGTTTAAGCTTCAAATTTCAAAGATATTGTTGAAATACCGAAAAAACAACAATTTTTGAACTTTAATATCTCCCAAAGCGCAACAAATCGCAACCTGACATTTTCATCAAAAATTAAGCAATACTCGATAAACAAAATGTTAAAATTTCAAAGAGGTATATTTTGGTGTTTTTGAGATTGCATCATTTAAGTGGAGCATGTATTATTTCTATAACTTGTTTTAATGCAAAGAAATGGCGTTGTGAAGACTTGACTTCTGGAGCAAAGTTGCTTATCTTGATAAAATTAGCAACACTTCTCAAGAAGTCAAAACGCCACAGCCTACTGTTTTCGAGTTACATATTTTTAAATTTTGAAGCTTAAGCCAGCATGTTTCTTCACAAAAGTTATTTATTTAATACATTTGAATAGGAGACAATTTTTATATTCTATGGTTGTAAGCAAAAAAACTGGAACAGAAAGAAAAAAAAAACATATTTTAGACCTTTTTTTCTTTAACTCCATACAACTCGGAAACAGTAGGCTGTGGAAATGTTACTTCTTCAAAAGAGTTGTTTATTTTGTCAAGGCAAACAACTTTGCCCAAGACATCAAGTCTCCAAACCGTCAGCCAAAGAAGTTAGATTGTGGTGCCATCTTTGCGGAAGAGTTTTGAACTATTTGTTTATGTCAATAGATGGCCATTATGATGCGAAACTTTACCGAAGACACCAAGTCGCAAAAATGCTTCGTTTCAGAGTTATTAATTTTGCTGCGCTAGATTGCATTTCTGGCCCAGTGTGCAGTGCCAACAGCTGACACACTTACCCTAGTTAAATTTGACAGAACTGCTCGTGTTTATACAGCAATTCCATAAAAAAAAGTTAGAGTGGAACTTCCCAAGTAGCACTAATCTGTCACACAAAGTTGCAGCAACTTGTTTTTGACTAAAATGAGTTCTTTAGCAGTTACCTTAAGCGGTTTGAGACAAGTGTCCTACTAGGGTCAGAATTTCGTTTCAATTGGTTATTTTGTTCCATATCGGAAAATATTAGACCCGCATTTTTTAAATTTTTAAATCCATTCAGTGTTACGGTGGTCTATCAAAATTTTTGATTTTTTTATGTTTCTCAAAAGTTCTAATGTATGATTATCAAATCTTGTTCTACGAAAAGTATGAATGTTGACTTTAATCGTGGTATTCCATGGAAAATCATTGATTATAATCGATTTTCATGATTTTCTTGGTCTCAGGAACAAAGGCACTATTGCACGTTATATTCTTTCTTGAAAATGTAGAGCTTCAATTTTTCAAAAATATTAAGTTTTGTATAATGAAGGCACATGGCATTTTATGATGATGATAGTGGTTTACCACTCATTGCTGCACGGGAACTAGTCCGATAGCTGTAGGCTCTCCTCACTGTTGAACTTGATCAAGCTTATTAACTTTTAATTGTCATCAGCAAATCGCTGTATGAAGAGCCAAAAACGAATGGATGGATTGATAGGCAATTCGCCTATTCATGTCCTTATGGAAGGTTAAGAATATCCTTCCAACAACTTGATCAGTCAATTGGTCAGAAAACGAGCCATCCAACAGGAAGATGTCCAATGAATGAGGAGAGGAGCCCGCCCTTTATCCACGAAATTTTTGGAACAGGGAATTGACATCTTCACTCTCTTCATCCAAACCACTTCAATTGGGTGCCCTGATGGTCCCAACTCATCCCAAAATGTTGATAAATTGTAATATCAAGAACAACATGTGAAAAGGGCATACAAGCTTTTTGTAAACAAACCTTCTTATGCCCTTTTCTCGCCACCCATATGACACCAATGCAAACCATCATCATCACCGGGTAGGGGAAACTTTACCCTTCCCGATGATGTTGTTGGCTTGCGTGAGCGACCCTCGGTTGGCGAGAAAAGGGCCTACAAAGGTTTGTTTACAAAAAGCTTGTATGCCCTTGACATACTTCAAGTCCCCGCGTACATCGTACGGGTTAGGCAAAAATGTGCGTCTATCTTTAAAAACTTCGCTCATTTTCAACTTCTATTCAATTTTCATACTGCCGTACTCTAACGGAACTATCCACCTACCCTCTTCTAAAGAAATATTTTTGAAAAATTGTAGCCCAGAAACGAAAAAAAAACATCCATCGCTAAATATGATATCAAGATAGAGCTGCAATTAGGGCGTAACAGCTTTTGTAAACAATGACTTTTTTCGATGAGTCTTCCCCTACTCGACGGTAACGTTGGTAAGCGTGGGCGTGTCTTGAATTCGTTTAAATCATCGAGAGAAGTCATTGTTTACAAAAGCTGTTACGCCTTAATTCCAGCTCTACCTAGATGATAAGTCGTCAAGAAAAATTATAACATGCAATCAGGGCTGTCATTTGATCACTCAATGCGCGCAATGTACAGATTTTATGAAATAGACAAAGTGAG